CTTCCTTCCTTCCTTCCTTCCTTCCTTCCTTCCTTCCTTCCTTCCTTCCTTCTTTCTTTCTCTTGGAGAGGTGCCTGGATTTTTAATATGTTTGCTGACATTACACAAGAGTGGGGAAGACCCAACTGACGAAACACAATGGCTATTGCCCAATACAATCCCTCCCCCCCATCCACAAAATGTACTTCCCTGTACCTTCCCCATTTTATCTCACTTGCTTCACACACAAATGCTATTTTTTCAGCCTGGTGTCTCTCAGAACAAGCTTAGAAGTCGAAAGACCTAAGGTGGGTCTCCCTCTGTATTTTCTTTCCTTCTCTCTCTCTCTCTGTCTTTCTGTCTTTCATCCTTTCTTTCTTTAAGGGAAGAGGAGAACAGGGGAGGCAGAGAACAGACTGAGGACAGCCCATCCCACTTCCGCCACTTGCCTGATTGAGGGAAAGGACAACGTAAGACCAGAGCTCAACATTCAGACAAACATCTCTGAACCAACACCAGGGAAGCCTTCCTCAACAACGTACATAATCCAGGGAAAGGCACCGACAGCAGAAACCTGGTGGAAATGAACAGGAACTCTGCTACGATGAGGTATGTTCTAAGCAAACTCTTGGGAATTAAACTGGGGTCTCACTGTGGATTCCTTTTAACACTTTTGACCAGCAAAATCGAACTGGTCCTTGTAAAAAGGCTGCTCACGTAAACGGCCCTGAGAATAGCAATCTGTTCCACAACTTACAGAGATATGGATGATACTACTTGGTCTCCTGGAAGAACCTAGTCTGTCTGATCACGCGGGAGGTAGAACAATTTGCGAGGTTTCCTTTTCTCTCCAACTTAATGATTTCTACCAATTTCTATCAATCACTATTACCTTGTTTTGACTGGGAAATGCTTTCATAATTCAATTCCTTCTGGCAAGGCATGGGCTATTGTGAGAAACAGGCCTTTCCTCCGTTGGCCATGTGCTTGTGAAATTCCTCCTCTGTCCACCTGCTTTTTTCCCTGTTGCTGCAGCACTATTGAATTTCTGAAGACATCATGCTCTCCACCAACTCAGATGACTTTAGTAGTCTGTTTGATAAATTAATGGAGATGAACAGGGCTATATCCTGCTTCCTTGAGGCTTCTATTCGGCTATGGAGGGAGACCGGAGGCCATATTAAATTGGTATTTAATTAGATCAAGCGTGGCTTTTCTTCTTGTGTTCTTTCTGCTTAATGAAGTGTAGTCGGCTTTCTTAAATTCAGCTTCTTTCTGCTTCTATATGGTGATGACAGCGATGACAAATTGGCAATTCTGGCTTGGACAGATAAGAATTGAAGTTATATCTCTGGGTAGCCTACAGAATTCAATAAATGTGTGCCTGTTTTAGTAACGGAATTGAAACAGTTTTTATGACCAACTCTTTAGCTTCACAGAATGTTTTTAAAGAGGTAATGGTCTCAGGAATCTGAAAAGACAGAGAAAGGAGAGGAGATGAGGAAGGCAGTCAGTCAGCGTGAGTGAAGGATGAACCAGCCATTCTTTTGGTAACTTTCCCTATTTCCTCTGGCACAGATTTTGCTTCTTCATCCTCACTTTTTGCCATGGGATACTCGGTGACGTTCTTCAGCTAGACAAAATGTACGGGAGGATCACATCTCCAGACTTCCCGAACGTCTATCCTAACAGCAAGGAGAGGATATGGAATATCACCCTGCCTCAGGGCTACACTATCCACATCTACTTTACTCACTTCAACGTTGAGCTCTCTTATCAGTGTGAATACGACTACGTCAAAGTACGTGAAACTACTAGTATGTAAGCGTGGCTGGTGTGCATGTTGAGATTCATACTGTGCACACGCGTGCAAGCACATTTGGTACTAGTGAGCAAGCAACCTGGTCTTGTTTCATAGTTGGGTAGCTCCCAGAAGATGCAACAAGACTCTCCCGTTTAGGGGGACCGCTTGTGTCCTACCAGTTCCCCAGAGAAGCCCAGGGGAAGATGTGACCCCGTGACAGGGCTCATGGTTTGTTTGCTTTGCAGCTGCATTCAGGAGGAAAGGTCGTGGCCACTCTTTGCGGGCATGAGAGCACTGACACCGAAGAGGCCCCTGGGAAAAAGATATACCGCTCCATTGATAACAACTTAGCAGTTACTTTCAGATCGGATTACTCCAATGAGAAACAGTTCACGGGCTTTGAGGCTTTCTACGCTGCTGATGGTGAGGAGGAGAGAAATGCTTAGCAGACAGGAGGCTCCACATTTCGATGACTCCAGTGAAGGGGGGGAAAAAGTGACAGCATGATGAGAAAGGTGTCTGCCTAAGACCCTACTGATGTAGGCTATGCTGAGGCCGACGGAAAACAGTCTGATCCGGTATAAAGTAGCTACTTGCAGGAGAGAAACCCTAACCAGCACATAATTGGACAACAGAAGGCTCAATCCCTTGGCGTCTCCTGGAAACAAATCCTGATGCAAATCTAGGAGAATTGCTGCCACTTGCCACGAGCAACCATATGTTTAGAAATAGGAGGTACAAAGTACGGGGAGGGATTTTTCTTAACTGTCTAGTTTTGTGGGTTTTCTTTTTACATCATAGAACGTGTTTTTAGAAGTTACAGTATAGTTTTGCATGTATTTTCTAAACCAAAACAGAGGGAAATTGCAGGAATTGTACCACTGAATTTTGGAGAGGTCTCAGAGATGCAAAAGGCCTGGAGAACAACAGAGCCTTGGGCCAGGAGAGACCCATCAACTGACACAGCTTCTGTGGACCTGAGTAAAAACAATCCAGTTTTAGCATTTCCCATGTTGTACGTTGGCAGCCACCCCGCTCCTTCTACTTCTACAAACCCTGCCCCAAAGAGCCACACTTTATCCCACGAGCCAAGCCTGGGCCTCCATTTCTGTTTTTCTCTTCTAGACATTGATGAGTGTGAACAGCAGCTTGACGGCGAGTCGCCTTGTGACCACTACTGTCACAATTACCTGGGCGGCTTTTATTGCAGTTGCCGAATTGGCTACCTCCTGCACAGGGACAAGAAGACTTGCAAAGGTAAGTCTACTTCCTGGAAAGCAGGGAGGCTGAAGTTGTCAAAAATTGGCCCGAGCATGATACCCGAGCATTTTTTTTTTTTAATCACCATTTACCTAATCTGTCCGTGCGAGAAGCTGCTTCACTATTTACTGGAATGCTCTGCATTCCTCTCTTCATGATGTTTTCATTATGATTTAAAACAAGTTAAACTGACCGTGGTAACTTTAGAAAAGGAAAACATATTAAAATCTGCTATGTCACTCACTCAGGAAGGATTATATTCACCAGCTTCGTTTTCTTCTTTTCGATCCTTCTTGTCTCCCTTTCTTATTTTCCAGCGTGAAATAAACTTGCCGCTCTCCAGCTTAGGCAGAGATGGAGATAGAGGTGCCAACTTCCCTCCTCCTGAACCACCTGTAGTCTTCTCCTGAAAACCTACAGAGGCTACACTCTTCCCTCCTCTTCTCCCTTCCAGATCTGCCTCCTGTGGTTAATAAAACGGCTTCTACCCTTCTTCCCAAATTTCCTGCAACCTTTATTTTGCAATAGCACTCTGGACAAGAGGAAAGTGAAACATACATATATAAGGAGGTCACAAGCTGGGCTGAAAATTGTCCTGAGAGGGCTTCGAAGAGGAGGGAGACGGTGCAGTCGTAGGAGGGTGTATGGGAACAGTATCCTACACAGACCCAGCAGGTTTCTTAGCAGAAACAAAGGAGTCAAAATGAGGTCGGGGCAGAATCACAGTAAGCTCCATCTCATTTGATGCTTAATGCCAAAACAGACAAGTTTTTCTGCCCACCCAAATCTCAACACATTACGGCTTCGTGGTCCAACAACATCACGCTTAAAATGGAAATTGGGCACTTTAAGACAGAGAAGGGATGGACAGAAAGAGGTTCTGGGCTCTTCCTCTGAGTCAACCTCCAAAAAGCCTCTCCCTCCCTCAATATATTTTTCTTCAAGACCTAGGGAGGAAGTAAAACACTTGGGGAGGGCAGTTGAGGGGGGGAACAATCATAGCTTGTGCAAACACTGCCCCCATCTGCCAACCTGCTCCCTACAGAAGCCTAAAGTCCAAAGCCACCCTCCGTTTATTTCACCTGTAAGCCCCATCATCTCAAGTAGGGAAGGAGTAACCCCAACAGCTTCTGTCTTTTCTGCACACAGTTTAAGTAGCAGAAAGAAACAATTGTTTGGTTCAGCTTAGACATCCATGGCTTGTTTCCAGCTGAACTGTACACACTCTGCTCTAAGTTGCAGAAGAGATGGTTTCCGTCCATCTGTCTGCAGAATGCAGACTCAGCCATCCTTATTTGTAAATCAGTTTATGGCTTCATGTAATCTCAGCTCATTCACACACAGAGCCGACCAGTTTCTCCCCTTTTATTTTGCACTCGTTTGTCTTTGCCACATTTTCCCAGTCATCCAGTATCCTAATTTATGGGCAACTGTTAATTTCAGACCTAATGATCCAGCAATCACACTTTCGCAAGTTGAGACAGGCTTGTTTCTCAGAGTTCAAGTCTCTCGTGGGCACTGCAGTGTTATCTCCAATAAAAATATAGGCCTAAGTGTAATTGAATGCTCTCCTGATACTCCTAAAACCCAGCTGGAGTTTATGGCCAAGGGCTGAATGGGGGGTGGGAGGGGCTGCTTTTGTGCAAGGGATAAATGTGTGTGTGCTTTTCTACAAAAGTAAAAATGCAGCCCTTGATGCGGAATGCTGAATTAATATTAGCGCCCACTACTAATTTCACAGTGTCACCTGTGTCGATATGGCTCTCTTACTAGTGCCCAAGCCGTCTAATCATAAATTGAACCGCATTAAACTTTAATGGTCTACCAGCACTCACTATTTGAAAGGTTCAGAGTGCAGAGACACGGGACTCTGGAGTTTAGGTTTTCCCTTCTTTCGTTCTCTGGCATCCATTTATGGCTTTCCTTAAGACAGAGATATACAACCCAGGGCCTCGAGAGCCCCACCCCGCTTTTTACCTGCCAGAAGAGAGGAACTATTAATGGAGTACACTCACTATATTTAATTTACATTGAATTTAAATTAAAATGAATTACGCTTTGTCCTGGGCCATTTTGTAACGTGGCCTCTATTACGCCACTAAAAAGACTGTGCCCCCCCCCCCGGTCTTATCCAAACCTCCTCCTTATTCCAGTACAGTACACAGTTCTTGGTGTTTTTCTGGCCTGATGCAGGACATGACATTTGTGCTGGTTTTTCTATGAAATTTGCACTGCTCTATCTGGCAGTCAGTGAGATCAAAAAGTTAATAATTTTCCTTCGCTTTCTTCCACTTCCAAGCTATTTTCCCCAGCTATGGCTATGACTATTTGGAGAAGATGACCATCTCAGAAAGAGGAACGGAGGACACAATTGCACCCTTCAAATACAAAAAATATAACCCTGAAAAACCAGGGTCCTTCCAATCAGCAGAGCCAATAGAAAAAATGGTGCCTTCAGAAGCTTTTTAAAGAGGATTTATACAGGCCCTGTGTTCCTCTTTTAAAAAAAGATACATTATGGTGGAGAAAATGGAATTGCAAGCCTTCTCCATTTAGTTGGGAGACGGGAGGGCAGGACAAAGTCATAGCTTACAAAGAATAATTTTTTAAAAAATCAGTCAGCAGGCTAGTTCAGCTTTTCCCTCTGAAAGTTTAACTTGGTAAATAAGACGACTAGGTGTGGGAAGAAGAGTAAGGATAAGGGCGCGTGGCTAGATTTGAATCCTTTCCTAAGGTGGATCATTTCAAGCTTCATCCATGTGGGTTTCAGATGAAGGAGTCAGTCTCACTCCTCCTCCTCTGGAAATCAGCTAGGAACTGCTGCAAACCCTGTGAGGGTTCCAGGAAGTACCAAGGGCTGTCAATGTGGAAATTAGCAGGCTTTTATTAGATGATCCGTCCTGCCTCTGGTTGTCAGCAGGAGACGTTGTGGCTGTAAGCTTACCAGCTACAAAAAACCATACTGCATGTTACCAAGCAAACTCTATTACCTGTCCTACACATCTGGCAACCATGAAGAGTCAGGAGGCGGCTTGCCTTTTTGGAGATACTGAAAAGAGGTGGATGATTGCACCACAAATTGAGTCGTGACCTAAACATGTAATCTCTGTCTGTGGTCTAAACATGGTCAAATAGTGGGCAAACTCTCCCCCGCAGGGTACCAGGGTCTTGTAGGCAGGTATCCAGACTCTGCCCAGAGTGCCCCAGGTGCAGACCTCTGCATCTCTAGATAAACAAAGCACCCATCGCTACTGTGAAGAGCCCCGTCACTCCGAGTGGGCAGCACTTGCCCAGATGAACGAATAGTTCAGTCTCCTGTCAGCCAGCTTCCCTACAGAAGACTGACATTTACATCTCCTTTCTTCTTACATCAACCTGTGATTCCCTTCAAGATCATCTTTTGGCTCAAAACACAGTGTGAGCCCTTGAACTGAATGTACACTAAAAAATTGCATACATTTTTCTGAAGGTGGCTTCTTGTTTCTTCTCCCCCTTTCCTTTCAGCGCACTGTCCGAATAAGGTGTTGACAGCAAGAACTGGAGAGATCTCCAGCCCCGATTACCCCAACCCGTATCCTAAAGTCTCCGAGTGCAACTATGGCATCCGGGTAGAAGGAGGTTTCACGGTCATCCTAGAGTTTGTGGGAACCTTTGACGTAGAAGCCCATCCAGAAGTACTGTGTCCCTATGACATCCTGAAGGTCAGTGGGACTTGCTTTGTAGGTCCTTGCTAGAAATCGGGGTGTTTGGAACAGCAGGCTCTGTTAATTCACTGCAGGTAACGGACAGAGAACGGCTTCACAAAACACCCAGTGTCGTGATTTGTTGAATAAGCCACAATTGGCTGGGCTCAAGATAAGTTAAGCCCTAAACTATAGCTCACACACACAGTATTTGTTTATTTAACATTATTTGTGCCCTGCTCCAATCCTTGACGGACTAGGAGGCAAAGAGCAAAGCACAAAAGAAACACATAGACTGTAAAGCACCTGATAAAAATAAAAGAAAATCAAAAGGACGTAATGAAGGCAAAACCAGTCAACTTACATGACAATCTAGCATGATGTGTGAAGCCAGTCAGTGTCTCGAGGTGCCTTCAAAATAACGTTCACAATAAATCTCTGTAGAGTAGAATCTATTTCGCCCCACTTGTGAGCCATGAGGTCCTGTCTACAATGACCTGATACGGGCTTTCCAAAATTTCGAGCAAGAGGTCTTTCCAAAGAACTCCTTGCCATGCAACCACTTACATTTGGAGATGGTGGGGATGAAAGCTGGAATCTGAATGTTGTTTAAAAGTTGCCTTTAAAACAAGGTTGCACATTTGTCCACACCTCCCTGAAGCCAATGGGGTTTCTTTCTCTACTCTTGGGTGATACTGAAGGGAATGCCCGTTGAACTGTGTACCCTAAAATCATACTAGTTAGTATTACAGCGAATCCAATGAATTTTACCCATTTTCTGCAGCCTCACAGTAACAAACCAATCCTATTTTGGATATATTACATTTAAAATGAACTTATGTTTAAAATAAAAGAAATAAAATTGAAGAAGTTTCTTAAAGTGGCATCGGACAGGGCCAGACTGTAGCATCTGGATGCTGAATGCTATAAAGTACTTGTATAATGTGGTTCTTCCAGATTAAGACGCCCAATAAAGAATTTGGTCCATTCTGCGGCAACACCCCACCTCCCAAAATAGAAACGCGCAGCAATGCTGTAGATATCAAGTTCATCACGGACCTGTCTGGTGCTCATGCTGGATGGAAGCTCAGATATGAAACAACAGGTTAGAGGGCTTTGGGGAAAGAGATGTTAACTGAATGCACGACCTACTGCCCCAGACCACACTGGATTTGCGGGGGCCAGATTTGGAGAGAAGGATGCCTAGAAAACCACCTGCACTACTTCATTCTAGCAGTATTCCCAGCCTGGATGAGGGTTGGTGAGCTCGTTCTGATACCTGATGTCCCACACACAGTAACAAGGCCACAGGGAGGCCTCATCACCCCATCCCATTCCTGAACTTGCTGAGTGCTCTTGGTTTTCTATTGAAACTCACTCTTTGGGCAACTAAGAGCAAAGGAATTCATCTCCGCTTCCTTTAGCCATGATGCAGATGGCATCCAGAGGGACTGAACCATAACACACAGCTCAGGGAAGGATGCCCTCAAAGGGGCAAAAACAGGCGACCTCACTGAGCACGATGCCTTTAAATACAGGAGACTCTCCACTCATCCATCTAGGAAGCAAATTATAGTGTTTTGGGAGAAGGTGAAAGGGGAGGGGATGCAAATCTGAAATGCTGTTACAAAGGGATTCTTACCTTGACCCCCAAGCAAGAGCATCTGAGGTTATTTGAGGCAAGTTATGCCAACTGGACCAACGTGTTCAGAACACAGATGGCTCCTGAAACAGTTGGGGAGGACTGCAGTTTGTTCAATGATACAGCCCATACATTGCATAGCCCATTCCCGTTCAGGCTAGGAAAATTAGTAGGACAGAAACCCAAAATACACAATTTGGTAAGAACTGTGAGGTGATTTAACTCCACTTTGCAAAGAAACAGGAAATTAGTGTTGTTTTTCCTGTCTCCTCTCTGCAGCTTTGCCATGTCCCAGCCCTCAAGCACCACCCAATGGTCGGATCTCTCCAGTGCAGGCAAAATACATTATGAAAGACTTCTACAGCCTCTCCTGCAACGTGGGCTACGTACTTTTGGAAGTGTGTAACATTCTTAGTTTTTACTTCTACGGGTTGGCAAGCATGGATACAGACCGATGTAAATTTTAGTCATGGGACCTGTGCCAAAGCAGTCACTGCATTGCATGTTGCACACGCAGAGATGAAATACACCGTGATTTTAATATTGAGCTGTTATTAACCTTTCCCAGTTTTACACACACACACACACACACACACACACACACACACACACACAAATGTGGTCTTTCTGGTTGGGGTGATGGGACCTCAAGCTGTTGCACTGCATAACACCAGCTGTTTTTTTTGCCTTA